GAAAGCAAGCGCGTTTATCCACAGTGGAGAGAGAGCGCGTGCACATTGTTGCCAGGTTGACAAAGATAAGTAGCACATTTAGCAGATATTTCCGTATTGTGCAAGTGTGAAGCTCTGTTTCAGGGATTGCGTCTCTATATATCAGGTAACCCCGGTTGTTTTCCTCTGCGGCCAGATTAAACCTCGTTGTAGCCTATATATTATGCTCTATTCATAATTTTTTTTGAAACCTTGCACTTTTCTACTCCATTTTAAACTGTGTTCGTGTATTCAAATTAAGCGCGGTCCACTGCTGCACATGTGCCACAATATTGATACAGGGTCAGCTGTATCGATACTGGTATTGTCAAATCTCTGTGACAATACATCGCCGTATCGATATATCGAACACAGCACTAATTGGGATGTGAAGAGATTTTCAACCAGCATAAGAAAAAAATGTTTTTTGAACCAAATCACCTACTCTGCCTTTAATATTGAGAATGATTTTTAGAACTATATCTTTATCGTTATCTTTATAGTTATTGTTCTTGGTGAGAAAGGGCCTTTAGTCTGCATGACCATATTCTAGATCCCTAAAGGCCATTCACACCAGGAACGATAACTATAAAGAAAACGATAAAGATATAGTTGTAAAAATCGTTCTCAATATTAAAGAATAGCAGAGTCCACACCACAACCATATACGATAAAGGCGTAGAGAAACGATATCGTTGGAATCACATTCAGAACGATTTTTTCCAGCTGATGAACGATAAAAATATTGACAGCCAATCAGAATCAATACTGCAGTCACGAGCCCGAGAATTTAAAGAGGTAGACGAGCGTGCGCTGAGAATAAACAGACGATATCGTCCACTGGTGTGGATGATAATATAGTTATCTTTATAGTTATCATTCATGGTGTGAACGGGCCTTTAATCAAACCCCATACCTAAACTTAAAGGGATAGTTCACCCAAAAATGAAAATTCTGTCATTAATTACTCACCCTCGTGTCGTTCCAAACCCGTAAGACCTTCGTTCATCTTCGGAACACAAATTAAGATATTTTTGATGGAATCTGAGAGCTCTCTGACCCTCCATAGACAGCAAGGATATTACCACAATCAACGCACAGAAACGTAGCAAGGAGATCGGTAAAATACTCCATGTGACATCACTGGTTCAACCATAATTTTACAAAGCTACGAGAATACTTTTTGTGTGCAAAGAAAACAATAATAACATAATTTATTCAACAATTCTTCTCTCTGAGTTTCCGTCTTCCACCATTTTGGCGAGTACCCCAGAACGTAATCTTGTGTGTATGTCCTTCCTATGTTTCTGTGCGTTGATCGTGGTAATATCCTTGCTGTGTATGGGAGGATCGGAGAGCTCTCAGAATCCATCAAAAATATCTTAATTTGTGTTCCGAAGATGAACGAAGGTCTTACGGGTTTGGAACGACATAAGTGAGTAATTAATGACAGAATTTTCAATTTTGAGTGAACTATCTCTTTAACAACTACCTTACTAACTATTAATAAGCAGCAGATTAAGAGATTAATGATGCAAATTCAAAGTTAATAGTTAGTTAATAGTGAGAACTGGTCAGTCTCATAGATTGTTTCAATTCTCTGAAAACAGTGCCATCTCTTGTGTGTATGTTTAGCATTGGAACAGCAGGTGGAGGAGCAGAAGCGGCAGCAGACGCTCAGCTGGTTGTCTCAATCCCAGGCCCTCAGCAGTCTGGTTCTCCCCTCCACGCCTCCATCCAAACGCACTCCCAAACGCCCCCGCCTCCAGCGGCCCGCCTCCACCACCGTGCTCAGCACATCCGTCGCCCAGCCGCTTACCCTCCAGCCCCAGCAGTTCACCGTGCTCTCCCCCATCACCCTCTCCTCCATCGGCCAGTCGTTTGCAGTGGCCGGCCTCAACCAAGCCTCCAACACGGTAACCCTACACGCCCTCCCGGCCGGCTCGCAGCTCTTCACCAGAATCTCCGCGGGTTCGGACGGAAAAACCGAAGCCATCGCGCTCCATCCGGCGTCTGGGCTCACGCTGCTGGGCGCCACAGCCGTGCCGGATCACGGGCAGCTTGTGAGCCCCGTCGAGCTCGTCCAGTTCACGCAGAAGACGACCTCCGGCGTAGCCCAAGACGGTCAGGTGGTGGCAGGTACGGTAATGATGCAGGAGAGCGTCGTCAGTGTCGTGCAAGAGGACGAGAACCAAGACAACACCACCCTGATCGAGATAGACCCGGCCACCGCCGACCACAGCGTGAGCGTCATGGAGCTGCAGCTGGAGGGCGAGGAAGCTGAGGGTGGAGTGACTGTGGTGGAAGGAGGCGAGGAGGTGGTGCAGGGCGAGACGGAGGAGGAGATACAGCTGGATGCCAATGGTCAGTTCCACAATTTGCCCGTTGTAGTGGTGGAGGAAGAGACGCAGGGCGCCGGCAAAGCCAAATGAGACACGACACGCTCACACAAACCGCCCTCAGGGACTGACGGACCAAATCAGACAGGGACGGGGATTGTGTCGCCCCAGGTGGAGTTTGTGTTTGCCCTTCCAGCTGTCTCGTTTTTTCATTACTCTCTTCCTGCACAGCCAAGCTCAGCTCTTCAAGCCTGACTTGTCACGTATTTGTACAAGCAAGTTCAGTATTCCTTTTTTTTTTTACGTGCGAGAAGCAACAATTTGTGAAGTTTTGTTGGAACACATTCAGTATTTGCTTTCGTTTTCGAGTGTGGAAGTTTAGATTGGGCACTTATTTTTCAGTTTCCCTTTGTTTCGGTGCCAAAATGTCATGTTGTAGCCAGATTATCCACTGTGTGAATCTCCGATCTGTAGGTGAAGACTCACAGTTCGTGTGATATTTAAGACACTCCCGTAATGAGAATTGACACTGTCTGTGGTCTCTTTGTACTTTCTGACATCAGGGTATAAATGGCACTAATGTTGGTGATGTTTTAGCACAGTGGTTTTTAACTCCGGACCAGGAGACCCGCAGCACTTCAGTTCATGCAGTGCTCTGCTAGTGATATTAGAGTCTGAATTGTGTGTAAATAAAGGAGGTGAAAGTGCAGTGCTTGGGTTCCCAGGATCAGAGTTGAGATCCACACCGTTAGCACACATAATGAAAGATGTGTTATGAATGTTTGTGAATGGATCCTGTGTGTCCTTCACTGAAAATAAAACGGATCTTCCTTTCCCCGTGAGTTATATATTGTAAATGATGGTAGATCGCGGGATTGTGCATTTCAAAGTCTGTAACAGTTTCAGAGCTTATGTTTTGGAAAGTAATTGCAAAAATACTCGATTTTGGGGTTTATAAATACACTGTTGTTAATTTTTCAAACAAAAGTAAATTTATTCCGTTCGTGCAAAATTTATAATTCTGTAATGCTTTGCTCACCCTCATGTCGTTCTCAACTCACAGCCCTGCAAATGGAGATGTTTAGCAGAATGTTCACACGTACACAGTTCAGTCAACATTATTTTGCTGCTTGTTTGAATGAATTAAAATGAGCTAATGCATTAAGTCTTAAACATTTTTACCTAACATAAATTTATTACATGCAATTGACTTAAATTTGTAAGACAGAAGTGTATTTAACTGTTTTGTGTGAAATGAAACTTTCTAGTTCCCAGCATGCTTTGCATGGGACTAGATGAGGAGAGTGAATGTTGAAATTAAAGGGTTAGTTCACCCAAAAATGAGAATTCTGTCATTAATTACTCACCCTCATGTCGTTCCAAACCCGTACGACCTGTAATTACCACGATCAAGGTCCAGAAACGTAGCAAGGAGGTCGGTAAAATAATCCATGTGACATCAGGGGTTAAACCATAATTTCACGAAGCTGCGAGAATACTTTTTGTACGCAAAGAAAACAAAAATAACGACTTTATTCAACAATTCGTCTCCTCCGCGTCACCGTAGCGCCATTTTGGAGAGTATCCACTGAACGCAAACAGCGTATGCCATTCTGTGTCAGCTGTGCTACGCGGATACGCGGATCCGTGTGACGCAGCCAGGGATTGAAATTAACTTTTTTATTCACCAGCCAATTTGGCTACTAAATTTTTAAGTTACCGGCCATTCATAACTTCCGGTTTTTTATGGTTTTTGTTGAGATGAGGTGAGAAAGTGGGACTTGTTAGTTTTTAATGAATTGAATCAAAATTCCAGAGGATGATGCATTCCCATCAACCATTTTTTTTATTATTAAAATGATCAAGAATGACAGTAAAAACATATACAATGTTACAAAAGATTTGTTCAAATAAATGCTGTTTTTTTGAACTTTCTATTCATCAAACACTCCTGAAATGTATCACAGTTTGTACAAAAATATTAATCAGCAAAAGCTCTTTTCGACAATGATAATAATCAGAAATGTTTCTTGAGCAGCAAATCAGTATATCAGGCTTTGCATCACAGGAATACATTACATTTTACAATACATTTAAATGGAAAACAATCAAATAAATACAGACTTAAAGAGCATAGGTGACTACTTTCAAAAACATTCAAAAATCTTAATGATCCCAAACTTGCTTAAGTGTGGAACCAGCATTTGCCACCCGCACCTGTTTGCACACTGTGACAGACTGTGACGTGTTCAGATATGGATAATAACCTCATGAGAAATATATCAGTGTCAAAGCATCCATTGCTTGGTTAACTTACACAAGTTTGCCTTGTCACTACATCAGACAGTGTGGATATGCGAACAAAAATGACTGCAGTCTGAACAGACACAAATAGTTCTAAATACATGTAACTAACAGTGTGAACAGTCAATCTGAAGAATCACATTTCCTCATAGTCATGATATGACATGTGACCCTGGACCACAAAACCAGTCATAAGGGTCAATTTTTCGTTAACATGCGATAGATAGTAGTAAATAGAAAGAGATTAATTTACTTTAGCATGTGGTAACTTTGTTAGTTTACTCAGTTCTATAACGTTCTATACATATTTGAGTTGAAATTGGTAAGTTGGTAAATGTATCATAAGAAAACACGTAGAACCATGCAGATTGCGTGTAATCTGGATTGTGTAATCAAGTACTCCTAATTCGAGCATATTACATTTTATAATGCTCATAATCAGATTACAGTTACTTTTTTATGGATTAGCCTACATGATTACATATTATTCACACAATGGCAGTAAATTATTCACAATTTATTGATTCTTGCTAATTCTTCTTTTTCTTCTTCTCTCTTTTAAATACTGTCTACTGTCGTACCATTTAGCTTTGCCTATTCACATATAGAATGGTCATGTAATTGTCATGTCAATGCAAGCTTCTGAATTTGGGTGTAAAAGAACACCTCTCAAGCAATTAGACCATGTATGAAACAAATAATTATGCAAGTTATTAAACACTGGTGATGTATAGCTGTGAAACACGTCATCATATCCAGAGTGACATCCAGTAGCTGCTGATTCTGGAAGACTTTGGGCATGTCATTGTTGTTTTAATGTAAATCAATGTTTGTTCATATAATGCAGGGAGTACCAAATGTTTTTTTGTCAGCCAAATGAAATATTTACTTGAAATATCTCTAAGGCAGTTATTATTTCAAATAATTTAACAATACATTGCCATGTTTACAGTTCTCTGATGTTGGTTAATGGTGACATTGACTTGCAGGCAATCAAGTTAAATATTTCTATTTTTAGTGTTCAACTGTTTAAATATTTTTTTTTATGGTTTAATTAATTATCTTTGTATCAATTGAATCAAACCCACTGCAATTTTTACATTAAGCCCAGTTTGGGAAACCTTGGTGTAATGTAATGGTTAATGCATTTTATGATGTTGATATAAAAAAATAGAATATGTTTTCTTTCTCTTTGCTTTTTTATATCAATATGGTTCGTTTAATGGTAATTATATGGTTATTTTACAGTCCTGTTCCTCATGTACATACCATGTAATTATTGTAGTAATTACAATGGCCACGTTCACACAGCAGCAGAATACGGTTGTCAGTCCTGTATTTGAGTCCTTAATACGGTTACGTTCACACACAGTTCGGTTATTTACGGGTGTGACAACCTCATTCTGTAACCGAACTCACACCTACGGAACCGGACTGGACAACTAGTTGTCTGTCACTTCATACAGTGCGAGAGGGAGCCGCACAAACGCGTGTCTAACGTATGTTACGTGTTTTCATGTGTGTTTTCGGTAACTTACAGTGACGACGGAGAAATGAGCTGCGTGTCTGTCACCTGAAATTTTTAGATCCCATCAGTTTTTCACCGGAGCCGCTCCCGTCAGTTCCGTGTTCTGTGCGCGACTCAAATATTCCGCTCTTCACCCAAATTAAAAGCTGCTGTTGGTTAATGAAGATTTGACGGATGAACTCGCGGCTCGATTGGATTCTTGTCGTGTCAGAAAATGATAAGACTTTCAGTTTTATGGATGTCGCCATCTATGATTTTACTCTGGTCACTGTCGCTATGGTTACTGGTAAGGAATACGTCTTGACTCCCGTTGCACGTTCATACAGACAGTATTCTAAACACAACTGTAAGCTGCTGTGTGAACGGGACATTTCGAGACTCACACCTGTAAAGAAAATGCGGTTGTCAATCCCAAAAAGTGATGGTGTGAACGTAGCCAATAACTAGGTACTATGCCTGAACCTTCCCCTAAACCTAACCCTACCCCATGTAGTTACCTTATATCACCAGTACTTTCTTTAGTAAGTACATTGTAAGTACATGTACTGTAAAATAAAGTGCAACCAAAAAGTAATGTAAAGTAATCTAAAAAGTAGTCAGAATACATTACCTAAACCAAGATTACGTTACTAACTACAGTTTTCTTCATCTACCCTCAACTCTGTGAACGGCTACCAACAAGTGAATTCAAATTCAGCCCCAAGTTTATAGTTACCAGCCAAGCTCCAAAAACAGACAAAAGCATAATTTTGTAAACTACATTATTTATTTTATATGATCCTTATACAGTTCTTCTGTTTTTGAGCAGAGGCGCATCCAGAACGTCTCTATAGTGAGGTGGGGTTTGCAATAGCTACAGGTTTGTTGTTTCTCAGTGGATCATTGCCAGGCAAAATGTTTATTGCCAGAACACTCAACACTGTAACGTATAATTGAACAAATGATACGCTGTAGCTCTCAAAACTCCCTGGTTACAGCATGAGTTATCGAGTGAGGTTCAGCATCAACAGCAAACCTGCTGTGAAACGTGTTCGAGCTGCAGTGGAGGAGAGTTTCAGTGAAGAACTTAAATTAGGTCCTGTTCCTCACACAAAGCTATAATCACATAACTTCAGAGAAATCATACGGAGTATTTGTGGTGGTTTTCTGGCGTTTCTGTTTCTGGCATGTTTTGACATTGTCACATATGAACACAACACTGGCACATATCAGTGAATTGGTGGCTGCATTATAGAAAGCAGTCAAACCCTTTCTGGTTGGTTGATTGACAGGTCATCCAGCCAATCACAGGGCTAATTGAACAGCTGTTCTCTTATAAGTACAGTAATTAGGTAAATTGACCATGACAGTAGTGTGAGATGATGGCACTAAATCATTGTTAAACAAACTATCCCAACACCTTACATCCATAAAAACAGCGACTAATATATATGATTCGATTGGTACAATGACGTATGATTTTGAGAAAAAAAACATGATCCACCTCTAAACCTATAACCCTCAGTGGGACGTCGGCAGATCATACAACTATCATACGAATTTGCCACCAATTCACAAAACGTAAAATCGTTCAGAATTGCCATTAGAGTGTACATTTATTGTTGGAAAAAGATAGTAATTGCTCTCAGACACAGAACAATTATTGTAAATTAAATTACTTCTAAAACAGAAATTATTTGTTTAAATGCTAATTAGTAATAAAGAACAGATGACATCTTATTTGTAGCTTTGAGGTATAAATGATCAAATCTTTAAAGAGCCAATGAAATGGAAATTTCAAGCCATTTTTTCCTCTGAAATGTATTATTTCCTGTTGCAACAGAACGTTTAGCTTGTCACTATTTATTATAGCTTTTAGTTTATGTTAAAACTGAACCATGGACAGTTTAAAGAGACACACACACAATCCAGGCACAAGAAACTGAACAGTACTTTTGGTCCATGCTTTCAGAAGATTGGATAAAAGCATCTGCTAAATGCTTAAATGTGAATGTAAATGTAAGAAAAAAA